AAAACAAAAACATCAAACCTTTTTATCCTTCAGGATTAATGGAATATCATTTTCACAAAGAGAATGTCGTTAACTCTTGGTTCTATCGCAAACAGGTAACGCCTAAGTCTCCAACAGTCGAGCTGCATACACCTAACTGCTAGAACTAAGGTTTAACCCTACTCGGTTTAAAACACTTGAATCAATCTATGATCGTGTCAGCCCTAACTACATTTTCTCTGATTTCTCATACCAGACGAGGATACGTAGGCACAAGACGGCGATGTCTTGGCGAGTAACCTCCCCCCACCTTCATCCGTAGTTTTCCGAACTACGTTGACTCTGACTTTCCCATTGCACGAGGGAATACGTAGACATTGAGCGGCGATGCTCTATCGAGTCATTTTTCTTTTCTTTTGTCCCCGTGAGCCTTTAGTATAGATAGTTTCATACCCTTATAGACTAGACAACAAGCATGGATCCCGTTGAGTACAACGAACATGAGGGGTGCTCATACATTCCCCTTGCGTAACCGACTCCCGAACCCGAGATTTGGTTGCGATGACCTGTCTTATTCCCTTTTCGTAGGTTTTCTCTGATCGTTTCCTTTCCCTCTCTTTGGGATAAATAACGAACGGTGGCGACTCTTCTATCATTGTCGGCCCCTCTTCACAGCAATGCGACACATATACACCATAACAGAATGGTGTAGTAGAGAGGAAAAACAAAACCATTATGAACATGGTTCGTTGCATGCTGTATGAGAAACAAGTTCCAAGGAATTTTTGGCCCGAGGCTGTATATTGGACTGTTCATGTGTTGAACCAATGTCCAACGGTTTCTGTGAAAAACAAGACTCCTGAAGAAGCTTGGAGTGATGTAAAGCCATGAGTTGAGTACTTTAGAGTTTTTGGACGTGTTTCGCATGTTCACGTACCTGACAGAAAAAGAACAAAGCTAGACAACAAAAGTACTAGTTGTGTTCTACTTGGCGTAAGTGAAGAATCAAAGGCATACAGGTTGTATGATCCAATTTCTCACAGGGGTGGTGAATTTACATCACAAGCTTTTAATGAATTTTGCAAGGAGAATGGTATAAATAGGCAATTGACGGTTGCATATACACCACAACAGAATGGTGTAGTAGAGAGGAAAAACAAAACCATTATGAACATGGTTCGTTGCATGTTGTATGAGAAATAAGTTCCAAGGAATTTTTGGCCCAAGGCTGTATATTGGACTGTTCATGTGTTGAACCGATGTCCAACGGTTGCTGTGGAAAACAAGACTCCTAAAGAATCTTGGAGTGATGTAAAGCCATCAGTTGAGTACTTTAGAGTTTTTGAACGTGTTTCGCATGTTCACGTACCTGACAGAAAAAGAACAAAGCTAGACAACAAAAGTACTAGTTGTGTTCTACTTGGCGTAAGTGAAGAATCAAAGGCATACAGGTTGTACGAACCAATTTCTCACAGGGGTGGTGGATTTACATCACAAGCTTTTAATGAAATTTGCAAGGAGAATGGTATAAATAGGCAATTGACGACTGCATATACACCACAACAAAATGGTGTAGTAAAGAGGAAAAACAAAACCATTATGAACATGGTTCGTTGCATGTTGTATGAGAAATAAGTTCCAAGGAATTTTTGGCCTGAGGCTGTATATTGGACCGTTCATGTGTTGAACCGATGTCCAACGGTTGCTGTGAAAAACAAGACTCCTGAAGAAGCTTGGAGTGATGTAAAGCCGTCGGTTGAGTACTTTAGAGTTTTTGGATGTGTTTCGCATGCTCACGTACCTGACAGAAAAAGAACAAACCTAGACAACAAAAGTACTAGTTGTGTTCTACTTAGTGTAAGTGAAGAATCAAAGGCATACAGGTTGTACGATCCAATTTCTCCTAAGATTATTGTTAGTAGAGATGTTGTTTTTGAAGAAGATAAAAGTTGGGATTGGGATAAGAGACATGAGGAAAACATCAAAGTCAATTTTGAGTGGGAAGATGAACAAGATAAATCTGTCGATGTTGCAAGTGCAGAAAATGATACAAGCATCAATGAAGAAACAGAAGGAGAACTTAATCACTCTGATTCAAACGAGTCAATTGAAGAAAGTCGACAAGATTCAAATAGAAGAATAATACGACAACCTGTGTGGATGATGGATTATGAAAGTGGAAAAGGACTGTTAGAAGAAGAAGAAAGCATGACTAACATAGCCATCTTTGCAGGTGCTGGCCCAATTTTGAAGAAGCTATGAAGAGTGAAAAATGGAGAAATGCCATGGATTTGGAATTAGAATCAATAGAGAAGAATGACACTTGGGAGTTGACAAATTTACCGGCTGATGGAAACAAAATTGGAGTGAAATGGATATTCAAAACAAAGCTTGATGAGAATGGAGAAATATACAAACACAAAGCACGACTTATAGCAAAAGGATATGCTAAAAAATGTGAAGTTGATTATAAATAAGTCCTTGCACCAGTGGAAAGATTGGATACAATTCTACTAGTGCTCTTACTTGCTGCTCAAAGGGGATGGACCGTTTATCAGTTGGATGTAAAGTCGGCATTTTTGCACGGTGTACTCAATGAAGAAGTTTTTGTGGAACAACCTTGCGGATATGAAATTAAGGGAAATGAGCATAAGGTGTACAAGTTAAAGAAACCACTTTATGGACTGAAACAAGCTCCACGAGCTCGGTACAGTTGCATAGAATCATACTTTTTGAAGGAAGGCTTTGGAAAATGCACTCATGAACACACTTTATTTGTCAAGACGAGTACTGAAGGTAAAATTCTAATTATAAGCTTGTATGTTGATGAGTTGATATTCACTGGCAATGATGAGTCAATGTATGTTGAATTCAAAAAATCCATGATGGTTGAGTTTGATACGACCAATTTGGGAAAAATGAGGTACTCTCTCGGTGTTGAAGTAATGCAAAAGACCGATGGCATATTCATTAGTCAAAAAAGATATGTGATGGAAGTATTGGAGAGGTTTGGAATGGACAAAAGTAATTCTGTTCTTAATCCAATGGTTCCTGGAGAGAAGCTTCAAAAGGATCAAGATGGCATGAAGATAGATAATACTTACTACAAGCAGATTGTAGGAAGCCTTATGTACTTAACGGCTACTCGACCGAATGTTATATTTGCTGTTAGCCTCATAAGTAGGTACATGGAGCATCCTACTAAACTACATTTGCAAGCAGCAAGGGAAATCTTAAGATACTTAAAAGGGACAGTTGATTATGGTGTGTTTTTTAAGAAGGGAGGAAATGAAGAGTTGGTCAAGTACACTGATAGTGACTATGCGGGTGACTTGGATGATAGAAAAGCACATCTGGATATGTGTTTCTATTGAGCTCTGCTGCAATATCTTGGTTATAAAAAAAACAGCCTGTAGTATCTTTATATACTACAGAAGCAGAATTTATAGCTGCATCTACTTGTGCTTGTCAAGCTGTCTGGTTGAGAAAGATTTTAGAGAAGCTTGGACATACTCAAAACAGCTCAACAACTGTTTATTGTGATAACAACTCAGCAATCAAACTTGCTAAGAATCCTGTAATGCATGGTCGTAGCAAACACATTGATGTTCGCGTCCATTTTCTTCATGAACTCACAAAGGATGGAACCATAGAACTAGCTCACTGCAGTACTCAAGAACAAGTGGCCAATGTGATGACAAAGCCTTTGAAACTTGACGCCTTTGTAAAATTGCGCAACCTATTTGAAGTGTGTCAACAACCAGTAGTAAACTAATTGTTAGTAACAATCAATTTAAGGGAGGATGTTAAAATTGTAGTTTTTCTTTTATTTATTGTCAGTTAGAATAAACAATGTCAGTGCTGCTAGTGAGTTGTTGCTTTTACCTATTCCTTTACCACTATCCCACGTATTTAGTGTTTGTTAGTGTGACCTATTTTTTCTCTGATTCAATTTCTGTAAGGCTATTTAAAAGTCATTTCTTTTATTCAATTAGAAAGAAATATTCTCCCTCAACTATTATTTTGTAAACATGTCTTCTTCACAGTTAAAAGGTTTTAATGCGTGCGTGCATCGCTTTAGTACGTCAAGACTTACACTTACTTATTTTACATATAATTGATCAAAAAGACTAAAATATTTAAATTTACAATCAAATAAACTTTCACATTTTTCAATTCCTTTCGGTGTTAATCTTTAAAATTAATTTATCTTATTTTACTCTCGAAGGTTGAAATCTAATTAATTTTATTTTTTGATAGCTTATTATATAGTAATAATGCTTATGATTAATTTTAACTTCTTCCAATATTATCATCAAAATCTCAAAATATTTTAACCCGCTGTAAACATAAAATTTCATTTACTTTTTAAAATATACTAGCCATCACATATATATTTGTCAGTTTTTATTACATACAAATATTTATTTTATATATATTATGACTTAAACTCTTGCATCAACCTCATTTTAATAGAAATTACAATATTATGGAATGAAAAATCCATAATGGGATCCTTTCATGTATCTTACTAGTAGAGATTAAAAGTAAACATTTTTTATAAACTAAACTTAAAAATCTCTACTTTTAGTAGTTACTACTACAAAAAAAACTTTAACCTTTTTAAAAATGCAAAAAAATCCCAAAACTAATTCCTCTCATATTAGTTTAGCACACAATAATCTCAAAACAACCTTAATTTTTCACTAATAACTAAAACAATCTAATCTTAAACAAACCAATCTAAACCAAATCTAAAAAACAAGTATCCAATGAGAGTAAAAGGAATCCACAAGTTCTCATCAACAACATGTAATCACCACAACCAATTATGTTTCCTTAAGAAACATACAACAAATGCCACGTGTCATGTTTCAGTTAACTTTCAAAGATTTCATTGGATGAGATTCTATCACACAAACTCATCTAAATTACACTTCTTTCTCATTTTCTTAGTCCTCACAGAAACATCTTCAAAGTTCTGATTTTTAGACAAACCCATCAATTCTTTTGCTCCAATTATGGCAGCTGAAATGGCTCTTGTGAAACCCATTTCAAATTTCAGCAACATCACACCAAAATTCAACCCTATCCGTAGAACAGTTTCATACTCTATAAGAATGTCTGCTACCCCAACATCATCACCTACTTCAACAAAACCAAGCAAGAAGCCCAACAAAACTGCAATCAAAGAGACTCTTTTGACACCAAGGTTCTACACCACTGATTTTGATGAAATGGAGACGCTTTTCAATACTGAGATTAACAAGAACCTTAATGAGGATGAGTTTCTAGCGTTGCTTCAGGAGTTCAAGACTGATTACAATCAGACTCATTTTGTTAGGAACAAGGAGTTTAAGGAAGCTGCTGATAAACTTGATGGTCCTCTTAGACAGATCTTTGTGGAGTTTCTTGAGAGGTCTTGTACTGCTGAATTCTCTGGTTTTCTTCTTTACAAAGAACTTGGAAGGAGGCTTAAGGTTTGGTTCCTTTCTTCATATACTTTGTTCAACATTTAACTTAGCTTAATTGATAATGAGTAAATCACCAATTTACTAACTTAGTTTATGAAGCTGACAAGGGTTATTTTGAAATATTAATAATTTAGGGGCTAAATTGATAATATCCTGCTTTTTCAATGAAAAATAGTTCTTTGAATATTTTTTTGGAGTCTGTGAAGTGTTTTGAGAACATGCAAAGTGAAAAAAAAACATCATTTAGACTTTTTGGTTTTCAATTTTAAGTACTAGGAGTTTTGTTTTATGACATTTGAGTAGCTTAACAGTGTTGTCAAATATCTGCTATAACGGCAATATAGTGTTGTGGAGTTTGAAACAAATGATATTGTTCTGCAATACGCTATTTAGTACAAATCACTGTTAAATACTAGCAGCTTCTGTGGAACTATACTTTAGCATAGCAGAATTTGACCAAATCGCTGTTCTCCATGGTTGATAACATTCGTTTAGTGTAACACTGCTACATTTAATGTCTAATAAGAAGCTTTTGTTGTTTATACACTTATGGTTTTGTGTTCATGGATTGATTTATTGTTTGTGATTTCGATATTGCAGAAAACCAACCCTGTGGTGGCTGAGATTTTCTCTCTAATGTCTAGGGATGAAGCTAGGCATGCAGGGTAAGGACACACCTTGTGCTTCTACTTACGAACCGTGCAACACACGGGGAGAAAACAATCGAAAGAATACACGCTAGTAAAGATATGCTGTTTCTGTTATTGACCTCATCCTTTTGATTCTATGCAGGTTTTTGAATAAGGGTTTATCTGATTTCAATTTGGCATTGGACTTGGGATTCTTGACAAAAGCTAGAAAATACACTTTTTTCAAGCCCAAATTTATCTTCTATGCTACATATTTGTCTGAGAAAATTGGATACTGGAGATACATAACCATATACAGACATCTCAAGGAAAATCCCGAGTACCAATGTTATCCAATTTTTAAGTACTTTGAGAACTGGTGCCAAGATGAGAACAGGCATGGAGACTTCTTCTCTGCCTTGATGAAAGCACAGCCGCAATTTCTTAATGACTGGAAGGCCAAGCTGTGGTCTCGATTCTTCTGTTTATCGGTATCTTTTCTTTCTTTTGCATACAAACTTTTGCTCTTCCTTTAAGGTTCTAAGTTACATAGTACTATACGAACCTTTTTTTGAAAATGGACATTGAATGAAATGATTGTGTTGCAGGTTTATGTCACAATGTATCTGAATGATTGCCAACGCACGGATTTCTATGAAGGAATTGGACTTAACACTAAAGAATTTGACATGCATGTCATCATTGAGGTAAGTTTCCGTTTGGATCTTCAGTATAATCGCAGTTGACAGACATTCGTATTATCGCCCTTTCTTTCATTCTTAAATATTTATTGATGAATTTTGTGACTGACTTACGAATGAAATTAATGGAACCATGAGTGAGATTTGATTAAGAAAGAATAAATGTTGAACTCAAATCACAAGCAGCTAACCAAGCTTCATTTCCGGATTGTTTTTGCAGACAAACCGAACAACTGCACGAATTTTCCCAGCTGTTCTTGATGTTGAGAATCCAGAGTTTAAGCGTAAGTTGGACCGGATGGTGGTGATAAACCAGAAGATTCTTGCTATTGGAGAGAGTGATGACAACTCAGTGATAAAGAACTTGAAGAGAGTTCCACTGATTGCTGCCCTAGTGTCTGAACTCTTGGCTGCATATCTGATGCCACCTATTGAATCAGGATCTGTAGACTTCGCCGAGTTTGAACCGCGGCTTGTGTACTGAAGTTGTGTATAAACTCCTTATTTCATTTTGATCTATATTGTAATGTTCATCTTGACTGCTACTAGTACTGCTGCTACAAAACATTGAAGAAACATTTACTATGATGAGATCCTTATTAGTTTTTCTTATTTTTATTTCTCCTTTTCTTCTTATTTAGAAGCTCGTAAGAAATGTTCACATTATGAGTTGCTTATCATGAGATGATTCTTACCTCACTCATATTCCAATGGATGGTCTAACTGGCAAGTTTTCTTGTATAAATACTGTTCCTTAGCTGTTGATTTTGATTGATGGAGATTTTTTAATGCATCTATGTATTATTAGTGTATCATGTAAAAATATTAAAATGTTCTTAAATTTCAGAGATGTATTTACGAACGCACCTCAAACACACACATCCTAGGCCAATTCTGAGTCATACCTTAGGAGTGTGCCTTTTTTAGGTATGGAGATGCATCTTTGTAAATTGTCTATAGATGCATCTTTGTAAACTGTCTATAGATGAGTTGTAATTTTATTTTATCAAAATACAACTTTTTGGTTTTCTACTTCTGTATCTGTTTCAGTATGTTATGGAGATGCATCTTCGTAAACTGTTTATAGATGCATCTCCATAACATACTGAAACAGATATAGAAATAGAAAACCAAAAAGTTGTATTTTGATAAAATAAAATTATAATTCGTAACATAAAATTAGCATTACAGAGATGATGTTAACATAAAATCAAAAGTTACATTTCAATATTCAGGTGGACGATTCAACATCATAATATTTTTGGTCGATCTTGTAATTGTCGCTTTCACCTCAATCGAAACTTTTGTTTCGAAACGGAAAAATATATTCCACATAGGCCTAAAATCTGCATCTATCTTGAACTCAAAGTTTTGAACTTAATCTTGCCTTTGTTGTTAATTGACGGTGAACGGTACTCGAGCCTCACAAATTTTCGATTATCTCCGTAAGGTAGGAGATTCTGCACTTCATATTGCAGATCTGCAAATGAGGTGTGTATAGTCATTGATCTTAAATTCTCGCCTGGGTGTCGCGCTGGAAAAGGAGACATTTGCGACATAACAGAGGATGTTTACTTGCGACATTTTCTGTTTGTATAAGACAACATACAAAAGCTTATATTTTTAGTAGTTGTAGAAAAATATGGACCTAAAAAATTCTATCTTGTATCAATGGACGTTTCGGATATGCATCTTCGGTACCCCCTATTCTCTTATTCTGGAGATGCATCTCCGGAACCTCTCCTGATCCAGACAGAAAATAGAAGTTGTGTGTTTTGTTTGACAAATTGATAATTTTTTTTGGCAAACATCAAAATGTATTAAAACGTTTGAAATTGTATATATTATACTTCATTAATATTAATACATAATTACATATAATTAATTGATGACGAAAAACTAAAAGGAATCGAAAGATTTGTCGTCGGCTATATCTATAAGTATGGGTGGTTCTTCCTTTGACTTTTGTGCATTTGATTCTCTTTCAATGTTGCTCAATTTGTTGAACTTTTGCATCATGTCCACAAATCGGTTCGGCCAAGTCTCGACTTTCGTTATTGAATGAGTCTTCCACTCCACTGATGCAAGTGATATATGACATCCCGATTTCAAATAAATTTGAGCAAAGTGTCGTGATTTTGAAAGTCACCCAATACATATAATATCATCATTTGGATTTTGAGGTGGGGCGGTGCGCAGTGGAAAAAAAGTTTCTGAAAAACCGTATCTTGTAAGATTAATACACAAACTATCATACACACTTGCTATAAGATGTCCCATTTCAGAAAAGCACATCCATTTTTCCTCCGGTGCAGGTCCACTATGAAGGTTGAGAAACACAAGAAAGGGAGGTTGAATTGGGTTTCACATTTCGTCCATTTTTGCGGAATTAAACTAATGATGTTAACAAGTAAATAAAAATAAATGAACACAATTATTTTTATCCTGGTTCACTATTAACGAAGTTACTCCAGTTTACCCACCAAGGTGGTTTTTCCTTAGACAAAGACTTAATCCAATAATCATCAAAATAATTACAACCTCTAAGCTGTTAAACAACATTTAGCCCTCTCAAGCATCCTAGTTTTCACATAGGCGCTCAAGGAATTCATCAACCCACAATGGATACTTCCATTGTCTTCTTGAGAATTATGACTACACTAGCCTCTAAAGGAATCAACCTCCAATCCGTTATAAAATGACCTGGCCCTCTCAAGCATCATGGCTTTCACTTAGCCACTCAAGGATCATCATCCACTAAGATGTTAGAAACACACTTAGTCTTCTCAAACATTCTAGTCTTCACTTGACCCCTCAAGAAATAACACCTTTTACAAGGATTTTCTTGTGCACTAATATGCTTCTTACAAGCTGATTACACAAATAAAGTACATGAACACCTAAGTGTTTCTTAGAAAGATATGAGCAATAACTTCTTATTTTCTAAAACAAAACTATCTAAAGAATGAATCTCTGAGAGATTATAAAACATTATTTATGTATTGCTTAAAAGCTTTCTTGATGAACACTATGACTTCTTTTCATGAGCTTTAAGCTTCTTTTAATGAACTCTTTTCTTGAATATGTAATGCTTCTTCCAGATTAACCATTAAGATCAACTAAGTTGCTATGCTTCACCCATTGATGTTTCACTTGACTAGCTATACATGGTTTTAGCATGTTACATAGTTGTGCACACATTCAAACACTTTGCTCCAGCTTTTTCTTCATTGATCATTCTTCATTTAAGCTTTAGCTTGTAGCATTTTCTTCAGCACTTTGGCTTTGCATAGCAGCGTATTATCATCAGCAATCTGCTCCAGTAACCATCAAATTAGCAATTCTTTAAGCTTATTGATCTTCAATTTATAGAGCTTGAAAGAATAGATCCTTTGAGGGGAATTCTTGGAAAAATAATCCAACAACAATATCTCAATGTTCAAATGAAGGAATGGTCAACATCACCGTTCAAAAAGATGCTCTTGCGCCACCTTATCGAGGTAGAGGTCACAATTTTTGTATTCTTGTGTTTAACTCAAAACCATTCTTATCTTCAGTTTTTCTAATGTCTTACTCAATACTCTGTAGATTTCCAACTTCTGATGTAAAGGCTTCTTCAGAATCACCATGTGTTCAGCTTCTGCAGTCGTTGATGAGGTCTTCTAGCTGGATCACTATATTAGTTTCTCCTTTCATCATCTTTCTTTTTTCTGTTGCGATTTTCATAAGATACTTTGAGCGTTATGCAGAGGTGCAATCATCTTTATGACTTCATGAGCTTCCATTCTGACGGATGAAAACATTTCTCCTGATGTTTGTTTCATCTTTGATCTTTGGAGAAGAACCAAGTTCTTTCTCTAGTCTTCATCTTGAGATCAAACATCTTCAATCTTCAAGAAGGTTAGTTCCCAGAAAACCACTAGTTTCTCAGTGCTTAGCATATACTTTTGAAATGTTATGTCCTGAGAGAACTTGTTGAATTTCCTCTTGAATCATCAGAGTTCAATATTTGAACAAATGCTAATCTTCACCAGATGCATATATCATCATGATCATCAAACCAAGACATATTTCTTAAAGGGTTTGAATGATAATTTTGTTCTTACTGGCTGAGCCTTTCCATCCAGAATCAGTTCATCAGAAAGTGACAACTTCTCTTCTTTCCTTTCTTAGAGAGTAAATGAATTGTGATGGTCAACATCACTGTTCAAAAAGCTGCTCTTACGCCACCTTATCGAGGTAATGGTAACATTTTTTGTATTATTGTGTTCATCTCATAACCATTCTTATCTTCAGTCTTTCTAATGTCTTCAGTGGCTTTAAATAAAATGTTGATGAAACATGTTGTAAAAAAGTAAATTCTTTGCAACTTCAGAAACCCAGTCTTCAGAATTCCAAGATCTTTGTTCAGCAGAACTATCTTAATCTTCATCACTTGTTATTTTGGAAGTAATATCTTCAGAGTCTTCAGAGCTTGTTCCTTCAGAACCTTGTCTTCAGAGTCTTCAAAATTTATTAAGTACATTCTTGTCTTCAGAGTCTTCAGTACTTCGTTCACCTGAACCTCGTCTTTAGAAACTCTTCAAAACTTGACCTTCAGATATTGTGTTTTCAAAATCTTCAGAACCATGTTCACCTGAATCACGTCTTCAGAATCTTCAGAACGTGTAACATTAGAAGCACATCACATTAGAAAGTCTTATAGGCTTTTCTCATAAAGTCTCAATTAGAATGTCAAAAACTAACGTTCATTAGAACCGTTGTATCAAAAACATTCATGAGTCTTAACTTTATCTTATACACATATATATTTTCTTCTAGAGTGTTGATAATAGAGTCTGATGACGTAACACGTCTTCTTATTAGAGTTAGAATTATATTGACAATAGTCACACACTAGACAGAAGCCATATTATACAAAATTGTTCTCTTAGATAACATGTGTAGTTATCATCAAAACTCAAAGGCCAAATGTAGAACCAACTTTTGTTCTTACGCACTAATGCAAGGAACAAGAGACTCATAAGTTGCATCAAAATTTTCTTTTTTTTCCCCTTAAAGCCGTGTGTATGATTCTTTAGGGGTCCTCAACTCATGGATAAGTTGACGGCAAAGAAGTGTGTGATCATTTTCTCCTTTACCGAGCAAATCCGAAACAGCTCGAAAACCATAATTACCGTCACCCTCAACATTGACGTTCCATTCGATGTATTTGTGCATAAAAATCAGCATCTCGTCAATGAATATAATTTTTGGTGGAGGCGGTTTGCTAATGCGAGCTCCTTTAAAAACACTTTTTGATATTTTGGAGTTGGTGAGTCTGGAAAAACTTTTTCAACATGTTCAAAATACGAAGGAGATCATACCGTTGAATTGTCACTCGGTGTAGGCTTGACCTTCTTCAGAGCATATTTTGTTTTTACCTTTTGAAAGGGTGGTTTTAAGTCAGTGGTTTCCGGATAAACAATCTTCCTTAATTATTCT